AAACGTAAAAAAAAAAAAAAAAAAAGGAACCCTGTTACCTGCCAGGATCTGGGGAGAGAGCTCAGAGCAGAAACCTGAAGACGGAAGCCTGAGGCTGGAGGAAGGACACGAGCTGATAGGAAACGAGGCTGCTTTGAACAAATCCGGTGTTAAAATGATTGTCTCCAGAGATTTCTAAGTCATCTAATAGGAAAAAAAAATCAAATGATTTGATTTTTTTTCAGATTCCTCTGTGTGCAGCAGCTCTTTTGAAATTGGAAAATTGCGATCGCATTTTATCCTGTTGACTATTTAGCACAAAAATAATACACTTGATATTGTACGAAGCAATCATAAGAATGAAAACACACCAACCCCAACACCACTCTTTAATAATAAATACTTTAACTTTAAAATAATAGCTATTATCCTTTTTGCTAATGGAGAAATTACCATTTTTACTCTGCCGGATAGTTATTCTTTTGGTAATAGAAACACTAACCTTTTTTCTCCCTAGGGATTTATTAGTAAGCACGTGTAATCTTTGGCAAAAGGAAACCTGAAAATGCCTTTCCCCGAGGACCGGGTGCCGGTCGATGCCTTCCAAGCCTGCGGTGACCTCGGAGACGCGGCAAAGGTACTCCTGTTAGAGGTCCCACGCAATTTCGGGGTGCGCTGGCCTTTGTAAAAGATGCTATAGTTAGCTTCAGAAACCGTCTCACTCCTTTAGGGGAGGCTTCAGCTCTGTCTCTTAGCATAAAGCTTCTGGGAAGAAAAGCTCCTCCTGACAGACCCCACCTTCCCCTGTGTGTGGTGCGGCCGCCTTGTCCTGGCCGGCCGAGGCCTGGCCTCCCACTGTCAGTGCAGAGCAGGGGACCGAACAGGGTTTTGTTTCCAGGGGGGAGTTCGTTCTCCCCACACCCATCGAGCTTCCTCAAGCCAGAGGGAGATGCTGTTGGATTCAGGGGCTCCATTTTTCTATCCCCAAGGATCTGACGGGAGGATTTTAAAGACAAATAAACCCTGTTGTGGGTAGACTTTGATGGTTCCAGAGGTATCCCAGAACACCTTCGATGTGGGACCATGTTCCCCGCTCCACCCAAACGATGGATTTGCCAAATTGTTGGTCAGTGGCCTGACAGTCCTGGACACCTGGAGGGTGACCCAGCCAGGCCAGGGCTCTGAACATCAGGAGTGACTTAAATCAAAGTTAGTGGCTTCTTGAGGTTCAGCATTTGGGGGGCTCTGTGCCCCACCCCTGGTCCAAAGAGCCAGGTGTTTTAAAAATTCAATTCTCATGATAAAAGATCAGAGGGACTGCTTTCCCACCACCTTCGTATAATGTCATGTACTCATATATCCTTAATAAATCATTTCTGATGATAATGATGATAAGCAAGGTGACCTCTTCCCAGAGATTAACATCCACAATTAGCTACTCAGGAATTAGGATACACTGTTATTTACTGTCTAACCTGCGCTGTCCAATAGAGTAGCTACCAGCCACCTGTGATTATTCAAATTTAAATTAAATAAAATGAGAGGTTTCGTGCCTCAGTCTCACCAGCTACATTTCAGATGCTCGGTAGCCACATGTGGCTAGTGGCTACTTTTGAGGACAGCAGAGATACGGGACATTTCCATCACCCCAGAAGGTTCAGTTGGACACTGCTTTCTGTCCTGTTACTTAGAGTTTTTTTTTCCCTAATTAAGGGCTCAGGCCTTAATGATGAAAGTGTGTTTTCAGTCCACGGGTATTTCTATGAATCCTTATTTTGCCAATATGGGCACAGGCCACATTCTCACGTGCTAATATCTCTGATCAAAGCCAAGGACACACGTAATTAACCTTGAGCATAAAATTATAAACAGAAGTGCAGGCATCAGTGTAGGAAGTTGCTGATCATTCCCCCTGCTGTGGGGGAATGGGCTGCAAACTCCAAGGCCCAGAGAGCTGATGGATGTGGCCGTGACCTTGCTTTGCCCTTAGCTGGCAATGAACCAGGCAGTCCCTTGCTGCTCTCTTTGCCCAAGTGGACTTGAATCCTTCCCTGGGACTTGGAGATCCACATGTGGGGGCTGAGTCCCACGCCCACCCAGGCCTACAGACCCCACCAAGCCTCCAGCTCCTCCACTGCAGCCGGGGGTCGGGGGGGTTGTTGGCGGGGGTGGGGGTGGGTCCCATCCTGTTCTCTCTTTAAAAATTAAAATATATAAATCGGACTTTGGAAACGACTTTTTAAATTTGGAGGGTTAAGTTTGAAAAATTATTGCGTTTCAACAGCTCACTTCCATTACTTTATTTTATTTTTTTCCCACTGCAGGATTCCAGGACACTTTTACGACCGTCATAATTGTGAGTTAGAGATCTCCCAGGCCAAGTGAAATGAAATTACGAGAAACTGAAATCTGTTTTAATTGGAGCATTTATGGAAAAAAGAAGTCAGAGTGGCTGCTTTTTTCCTTTATGGGACTCTCCGGTTCAGGGCCATACCTGTGTCCGGAAAGCAGGGCTGGGGAGACTTGGGCCAACACAGAGCCGGGAGGAAAGGAGGGAGAATGAGGTAGGTGTGTCAGGAAGAAGTCATTTTCTTAGCTTAAAAAAAAAAAGAAAAAAAAGATGGAGGTACAGTCTTCAGAGTTCCGCCTCAGTGACCATGAAACCGAGTCGGCAAAAGCTGAAGGACCCGGCTCCTGAAAGCCTCATCAGGGCTTGTCATCGCTCTAATGAATATCATTTAAATTGCTTTGTATATTGGTGGAGTTTGGATGTCGATTTAATTTGTGCATGTGTTTGAGTTCTTCTGCTTGGCTAGGCTAACAGAGAAGCAGCCGCTTAATGAAAACTGAGTTGGTGACAGTGTGATACGCTCCAACCCAGTCAAATGGGTTTGCAGGGCTGCCGTGACAGGCCTCGGAAAGATGCAGCTCCAGCTGAGGGAAGAGAGAGGCGGCTTTCCTGACGCATGGGGACCTGCCGGGCGGCGTGGCCGGCTCGGTGTCTGTGCTGAAGCTCGCCCGGGCCGGCTTCTCATGGCTCAGCCCATCCTTGGCTCCGAGGACACCAGCTCCAGACACAAGAGACCATGCCTGTCGAACTAGGGGTCCTGGGGGATCTCCCTTCCCTGTAGTTATTTGGCACGAGCGAGCCCCGTGGCCCAAGGCCCCCAACTGAGATGGTAAGAGGGCATCGTTTTGTTGGGACAGTCACAAAAGCAAAGGCCTCTCCCATCCCGAGGCGGCATCCTCTCCGTGTGTGGCAGAAGCTTGGCTCTCTCTGGGTACTCACACGCCCGTTTTCTTCTTGTGTCTTCCCAGCCATCCTGGGAAGGGGCAGGCTGGGGTTCCTGGGGGGGCCCATCTGTAGACGTGGCCCGCCCCCGCCCACAGCTGCCATCAGGAAGGTCAGCCAGGCTTCTGTTTTCAGAAGCATCAGAAACGCAGGCTAAGTGCAAACCTGGTGGTCTGCCTACCCCACACACAACCCCCTATCCCCAAAGGGCCATGGGTCTGGAAGGGCTTGGGCACTGGGTCCCGGTGTTTCAGCAGAGACCGGGTCCGGGGTCTTGTGGGGCTCCTCGACACCCCAGATTCCCCTGGGGGTGCTGAGTCGGGGGCGGGCTTGGGCCTGAGGGATGGGACAGGGTTGGGGCAAGAGAGCGTATAAAAGAGCCCCCATCCTGCCTCCTCTGTGCTTTTCAAGGTCTGACCACTGAACTTCACATTGCTTTCCCCTTCTCGTTGCAGCCTCCTCAAGTATTGTCAACATTCACATTATCAACGGGGTCACAGAGAACCTGGAAAAAATCACAGAGCAGTCTGCTCTGGGTACTTCCTCTGCTCCCCAGATCCCCTGCACCCCCACCCTGCACGACTCTATTTCAAGGGATGGGAATGGGCAGTGAGAATCTCTCAAGGCTGGAGAGAAGATGTCCTTAATCGGACAGAAGGCCAGAGACGTGAGGCGTCCACCGGAAAGTCCGCCCCTCCCTTTCTACCTTTAAGACACAAGGGGGCAGGGTGGAGTGGGGCAGGGGAAGGAGGTGGTGCCCTGGGCATGCACCTGCTGAAGGCTCTGGGAGCAGATGCAAGGTGGGGGCCAGACGCCCAGAGAATCACAACTGCAGGGTCGGGGTAGGGGGGACTTTGTCACAACGTCCACTTGGCGGCAGGGGTTAACTTTCTTTTTTTTTTTAATTTATTTATTTTTCTTGGTGGGGGAGAGGTAATTAGGTTTATCTCTTTATTTAGTTTTAGAGGAGGTACTGGGGATTGAACCCAGGACCTTGTGCACGCTAAGCATGCGCTCTACCACTTGAGTTATACCCTCCGCCAAAGTTAACTTTCCTAAACACTGGAACACATGGTTTTGTCTGGAGAGAAGTTCTCAGGAGCCTCCCCTGTGTGCCGAAGGCGTGGGGCGTGGGGCGGGGGCACTGGCGAGGTCTCCTGGGACTCTGCACAAGCCCCATCTCAGTGGGCTGGACCCAGAGACAGGAGCACAGCCACCCCTGCCCCGTGCCCCCGCCCAGAAGGAAGAATGAACTCCTACGACCCGTCCCGAGACGTCCTGGCCTTTAATGAGTTTGGAGTCAAGCTGGAGGAAGGAGACAAAACAATAGTGACAAATAAATGACAACGTCCGATTAAGAATGAGATTGGGCAGAAAACGTAGTGTGAGATTACGAGGCTCTGTCCCGAAACTTGAAGTGCCCTGGCTGGGAGCCCATCTCTGGGCGAGACGGGCTGGCTGGACCTTGAGGGAGGATAAGAGAGTTTGCGGGAAGGGGAGGGCCTCTCCCTCGTAGGAAACCACTGGAAGCCTGGTCGCTCGGCCGCCTTCTGGTGGCACCTTGAGATGGCGAGATGGATGGCATAGCTGGTCACAGCCTGAGAAGCACCCGTGAAGCATCCGAAACGAAATGTGGCCGTGCCCCTCGCGGTGATAGGTGTGTTTGATTCTGTTCCACCTCGGGGGTCTTTCTAGGATTTCCTACCATAGGTTCTCGACCATTTAGGAGTTCTGGTCTCTTTTGAGACATACAGACTTCTCAGGAAGATGTGCGTGTGACTGTGTGGTACACCAGACATTAGCGAAACATTGTAAACCGACTAGATTTCAATAAAAAAGAAACTATAATGAAAAAGAATATGAAAAGGAATGTGTGTGTGTGTGTGTGTGCGTGCACGTGCGTGTGTGTAACTGAATCACTATGCTATATGCCAGAAATTAACACAACATTATAAACCAACTATACTTCAGTTTAAAAAATTAAGTATGTGTGGGCACGTCTATACGTTGGCTCAATCCCAGGGGCTGTGAGCTCTCTGAGGTCCACTCGCACGCCTTGGGGGTGGGTGCCAGTCAGCACACGCTGCTCCCTGCTGCTTCCAGAACTTGTAACTTGTGGGGCAGCCATTCCTGTTTCCAGGCTTGGTGGGGTTAGGGAGGTTGGTCAAGATGCTTTCGGCAGGGATTGCCTCTGGATCTTAAGCAAAGGAAGGAACTTTGGCTCCCAGAGCTTAAGTGTGGGCATAGTGCCCTTAGGTACTGCTGGACGCAGGTACCTAAGTGATGTCCCCAGCAATCCGTCCCTCTCCATTTCAATCTCTCTCTCTCTCTTTCTGCTAAGTGCTCGGGCAGCTTCCCTTGAGAGAAAAAGCTTTCCATCACACGAGTGGGAGCCAGGAGAGCCCAGGTCATTCTGGGACCGACAGCTGTGGCTCTGATCATCCCCTCCACCTGCCTTCAGGCCCAAAACAGCAGCCGGACCCTCTCGGCCCCAATGTCAGGTTCAAGCTGAACACTCAGGGCTTGTGTCTGGGAGGCAGATGGCCCTGTTTATGGGTCAGTAGGTGTTCCTCTGTGCATCATTTTTTTTTAAAGACTTTTTTTCCCTCTATGCATCTCAAGCAGCCTGGCCTCAGCTTTACCAATGGGTGTTAAGCCCCAGTGATCCTCTCAGCTTCCTCAGGGACTGACTCCCCTGGAAAAGGGATCTCAGTTTTCCAGGGAGCAGAAGAAATAAGCCTGATGAGAAACTGTGCTATGGGATTCCCAGGCCACCCCCCAGGAGCAGTTCTCCTGACCCGGGGGTGTGTTTCTTCATCCTTGGGCCAGAACTGTACCAGGGTGGACACCAGTGACCTCGGGAACCTCTTGGCCACTGTCTTCTTAAGGTACAGCTGGAGGTCCTGCAGTCTAGGGAGAGTGATACGGGTGCAGACCAGAAGTTACTAGAATGAGGAGCCTTCATCTGTTGTCCTGTCTGGCACCTGAACTAACAGTGAATGTTTACCTGGTAGAAGTGGCAAAAATGCGGCCGGTGGACGGAATGTGACATGCAGATTGTTTGATTTGGGCCACATTTAAAAAAGAACACAGATTTGAATTCATTGCCAAATTCTGAAAACTGGGAGATTTCAGAGATTCCTGGCATCTCTAGATGCCACATGCCTATGTGACAGCAGGTGGCTGCCCGTCTTAGGTGGGGTATGGGCTCCTGGGTTGGCCCCCATGCCTGCTGCTCCCTGTCTGTCTCATAGGTTAGACTCGTCCAGAAGTGGACGCTGAGATGATGAGGATTTGGTGCAGGTGCTCCCCTTGACAGGTGACCCCAGAAAGTGCAGCTAGAAGTGGGGGGAGGGAGGAGACAGAAAGGGGAGGGAAGCCAACCCCAGATGCATGAAGGAGCAGGTTGCCACGGGGGGCAACCGGGACGCGGTCTCACCGGGAACCTCTGTGGGGCTGTGCAGGGACGTCTCCGAGGGGTGCCCTCTGGAGGTCTGGCACACGAGACTCCGGGACTCCTGTCCGTCCCTGGCTAAGCTTGGAAGGGGGTGCTCCCGGGGCCTCAGAGACCCAGGGCCTTGTGGTAGGAAGTCTGTGGCAGGTTCAGGAAAGGGCTAGATGTAGAGAGACACGGTGGGGCACAGCGGTGGCTGCCACCTGACTGCGTCAAACCACCCACGTTCGTGTCTCGCCCGCACAGGCGTTTATTCAGCGGCTCAGTGAGAGTGTTCCAGCGGCGGGGAGCGACTCGGCCGAGGGAGCACTCCTTGTCAGCCGCAGAGCTGAAACTAGCACTCAGACCCCCTCCACCTCACTTGCCCTCCGCGATTCTACTACCCCGTGCTGCTTGTTCTGGGGAGGCGGGAGCGCTGGATGCCTCACTCAGCTATTTTATTTTATTTCGTCATTTATTTATTTATTTATTTATGTGTTTATTACCCATCTCGTTTCCGGGATAACGGAGGGCTTCTGTCGAGCTCGTTAATTGCCTCACTGCTGGCTAGAGACAGTGAGATCGGCTGAGCGGGCTGGGACGTCCAGGGAGTGGGGGGACCTGCGGGAACCGTGAGGGGCAGGAACCTGGCATTCGGCGGCAGAGGCCCATGTCCACCCCTCTCCTGGCCCCGCGCACAAGGACAGCACGCAGGAAATGGCTCCACACAGGGAGTCCCTCCCACAGGAAGTCCCACCCCTGGCACAGGGGCACCTGTAGCCCTGATGGCCAGGGTGAGCTCCCCCGACCCCCAGCCAGAGCAGAGACAGAGCAGCTGGGCTTCACGCCTTCCTGACTCCTCACGCTTGGGGCTGGGGTAGCGCGGGCAGTGGGTGGGAAGTTACAAATGCCGGGATGAGGAGGGGCTCCTCTCACTGCTCCATACAACTTCAAAGGGCTTCAGACATCTCTCCTCCCATCCCCTGCCCCACCCCCGCCCCTGCCATTTCTTTGTGCAGGCACAGAAGTGTCTTCCTCCGGGGTGGAAATGCCCTGTCATCAAGTTAGCGTCAGAATCCACACGGATTACAATAGAATCAAGGTGGGTACAACTGCTATGAGAATTGGGAGGTGAGTTTCCTGTCCCTGTGCCCCTGGGGAGAGCTGATCGGGGTGCCACTGAGCCATGGCTGGAGCGCAGGGGCTGTGATTCTAAGTCCCTGGTAGGGATGGCCTCCCGTTACCCTCTGCAGTGCCATGCGTCTTGCCCAATTCTGCTCTCCCAAGACATCCATGCCAACACTGCAATCAATTCGTCCAGAGGAATGGACAAAGGGGGTTACAGGAAATTAATTTCATTTGTTTTTTTTCTCCTAAGGCCCTGCTGGGCAGCCAGCTCTCCCAACACTCACGTGTCCACAGCCCGACTGCCCCGTCCATCAGCTCTTGTCCAAGTAAACTATTCATTTTATGTATTTTAATTTGGGCAGAACATTTATTTGGCTTAAATTTCCTTTTCAGGGGTTGGAATGTGCCTTCCACACACAGGCAGAGATGATCTGCTCGAATTTCGTCAGAAGGAGTTTAGTTTACAAAGATAGTAACTGAGCTATTAAAACCAACAACCCCTTTTAAAGCAAACAGACCATTAAAATATAGGAACAGTTTATGGCATAAATAAAATGGAGGCTATAGATTATTTAAAGATAAGATTTTCAAGAAACAGGGATGAAAAAACAATTCAATAATTTCTCCACGGTATTTTTTTTTTAACAAAGTCAACTTCAAAATGCAAATGCAATTTTAAAAAAAAGCACAGAAAGACACTAAAAATCCATCTTACAATGAAAGACATGGGAAAAAGGTTTGACTTTTCCTTCTAGAGCTGTCCGTGATTTCTGAGGGGGGGGGTGAGGGGAACTACTTGCATTCATAAATGACAGAATTCACCCAGTTTATGAAGCCATACTGTGGAAAAAAAAGCGACATTTGCTTCTAGATCATTCTCTGGAGCGGACTGACAGATACAATAATTCTATCCATTAGTCCGATCCATTGTCTTCCTTCGGCACAGAAGTACTGTACCGCAGAGGTAGGTTTCCACTGCTATGCATATTTTAAGGGTTATTTGGCAACACGAGTAAAGCTAAAAGTAGCCTCTTAATCTAATTAATTGACATTTCTGAATCTTGCTTTCACAACAACACATGGTTTCATGTTCTGGGTTTTAGCACTTGTCAAGCTTTTTTGGAGAATGTTTTGGTCAGAATGACAAGATAATTTGTGACTGAGGCTCCAAGCTAGAGAAGTGTTTAAGGCTATAATGATTTATTATCATCACAGAATAACAAAATTTACAAAGTGTTTCATCAGAATTTTTGAAATAAGTTTGCCACCATAGAAGAAGCATCGGGGTGGGGGGTGGGCTGGCTTCGGAGACGGGGAGGGCTCAGCCTGCTTATACAAACCCAGCCGTGACTGATTCGTGAAAATTTCTCTATTAAATTTATCTCTGCACGTTCCTTGAGAGAGAAACCCCAGAGCACTTGAGGAGGACAAGAGGTGATAGAAGAGAGAGAAAAATCAGACTTCTTCCCCTTTTTTTTTGTAAGCAGGAAACCCGAGTCCCCAGCTCCACTCGTAACATATATGTGGCTCCAGTCAACGATGAATTTCTACATTTTGGCAACGGTCAGAGTGAAAGTAGTCACACTATCTATAGAAACTTCGAGATGGAGAACACTTGGAGTATGCTACTGAAAATGCAAGAAACACATTTTTGAGAGGATGAAATAATATCACTGAGTGACAGTAAATTAACATGCTGACATTTGCAGACTTTCAGAGCATTGCCATAAAAAGAAGGAATACAACATGACTAATTTGGACTTCTTCTCTCTTCCTTCCTCGGGAGAGACAGCCCTGCCCCTCTGAGGCCACCCTGCAGGCTTTGTCTACCAGACACTTCCTCCTGGTTCCCAGGAAGCACGTGTGTGACTCTCAGGCTCCCCTGCGCGCCCACGTTGCCTCTCGGAGACTCTGGGGAGGATGCAGTTTTGAATCCTGCTGTTGGAAGCTAGCTGCCCCTCTGAACGTCAGAAGAATGTTCCTTGGCTGGCAGAGGGCACACACTCCATCCGATCTCTGCATGGCAACCGCATGGATCTCCTAGCTCTAGGGTACCAGGGCTGGGACAGTCCATCCTCAAGCATCCCTGCACAGATGGGCAGACTGAGGCACAGACGAGCCTGTGGGTTCCTAGATTGCTTCTCTTCCCCCTAGAACAAGCATCCAGCCTAGAAAATCCACCAGATGAAACCAGGCATCATCTCTGCCTCCCTGCAGAGGGAGGAATGGGGAAGGAGCCTTCCATTACTGGAGCCAGCACAGTGCTTGGCACACAGGAAGTGCTG